CTCTCTCTCTCTCTCTCTCTCTCTCTCTCTCTCTCACCCACACACACAGACAGAGGCACACGCAAGCGCGCACCCACACACTCTCCCTCTCCCTCTCCCTCTCCCTAACCTTTTCCCTCTTCCTCTCCCTTTCCCTCTCCCTTTCCTTCTCCCTCTCCTTCTCCCTCTCTTTCTTTCTTTTCCTCTCTCTCTCTCTCATGCACACACACAGACACAGAAGCACTTTTCCTCTCTCTCTCTTTCTCTCTCTCTCTCTCTCTTTTCCCCTCTCCCTCCCTCCCCTCTCTCTCATACACACACAGAGGCACATTCACACACAGACACACACATGCACACACAGACACATGCATATGAAGAAGCAGCATATGTATACATGTACAAGCACACACTCGTGTGAGGCATGTGTATACACATACGAACACACAAATACACATACAGAACACTAGTTTTTTTTTTTATATCTTTGTGTTTACACTCCTCTATGCTTGCAGACCGGGGATAGAGTGTCTGTCTTAGCAGGCAAAGACATGTTTAATGAGGTGATTGGAGGAGAAGAGGTGACAAGACCTCATCCCATCCACACTGTGAGTTTATTTGAGCAATGTCAGAGAGGAAGTAGACTGAGCTTCCACAGAAGTTTCCAGAAGGGTCTACAGTAAGAAGAGGTGTTCCTAGCTGGGCGGTGGTGGCGCACGCCTTTAATCCCAGCACTTGGGAGGCAGAGGCAGGCAGATTTCTGAGTTCAAGGCCAGCCTGGTCTACAGAGTGAGTTCCAGGACAGCCAGGGCTACACAGAGAAACCCTGTCTCGAAAAGAAGAAGAAGAAGAAGAAGAAGAAGAAGAAGAAGAAGAAGAAGAAGAAGAAGAAGAAGAAGAAGAAGAGGTGTTCCTGGGCAGCAGCCAAACAAATTCCTGGTGTCTACTGGCTTGGCCTCTTTATTAAGACACCTATCTGGAGGGACAGCACGGACAAGCTAAGTCCAGGCCCTAGAATTGGCCAAAAGTTGGGCTTGTTTAGGCTTAAGACTCATGGCCTAGGCAAAGGCCAGTGTCCACACCTCACGAGTAAACTCACACATTTGCATGTCTGTGTATATGTAACCTGTGTGTGCCTCAGTATGAGACTTCATTTTATGTTTGTATAAGAGGGATACATGAAAGCAGATGAGGCTACTTGTATTACACGAGTACCCTTGTGTACAGGCATCTGGAAGCGGGAGTGCCTGCATATGGTTGTGTGTGCACACAAGAACACATACATGAATATGCATACATGCTCAAATGGTTGAGTCAGGCATCTGGACCACCCCTTCTCCTCCTACCCACGTGGAGTCTGGAGGACACTCACAGGTTCTGTTGCCAATCTTGGTAGGATACCGCTCCACAGCATTGCAGCCCCAGCTGGACTTGGTCGAGGAGGAAGTGCAGATCTGGGTCATCCCAGTAGTGGGTGATGGCCTCATGAAGTGTATACTTCAGGCTGTCCTGCAGTGGGTTCCAGAGGGTCACCACTAGAGCCCCTGCCAGGGCTTCCAGTGCCAGACAAAAGAGGACAGCCCCACCGTAGCAGTGCAGTAGGCAGCTGTTCTCACAGAGAGCACCCAGACATCCAGACAGGCTCACCACACTGACTACCAGGCCTCCTAGCACCAGCAACAGCATGGGGTCTGTCGGCAGGGGTCCACCCCAGCCGCTCCCCTGAGACCTTTTAACAGCCAGGCCCCAGAGCCCTGCAGCGAAGGCCAGTAGAGCCGGCAGGGAGAAGATGAAGTTAGAGAGGAAAATCAGATACTTGACACAGTTGCTCCCTGTGGAAAGGGGGAGGGAGGAGGCCTGGTCTTCCTTCCAGGCCTTGTGCTTTGCTATAGGACAGCGTCTGCAGCCCCAGGCCCCTTTTTGATTCTCCCAGAGTGATGTATGTGGAATATTTGCAGTAGGTAGACAGTTCCTGGTGGGCGGCTGCTCTGGGTCAGCGGTGTCCTGCCGAAGGAAAGGAAACTTAGAGGATGCATCGGTGAGACCTCAGTCACTCAGACTCTGTGACGATGAGAAAGGGGTAAGGCCTCATCAGAGAGGGGGGTGGGCTTAGAGGAAGCTTGTGGGAGGAAGTAAAGACTTGGAGAATTGGATAGCTTGGAGCCTGGAGACTAAAAGGGCAATGAGGGTCCTAGTTCACTGCCTTCCAGGGTTGATGTGTGAGGCCAGCCTCCATTAGGACTGTATAATGACAGCTCCCTGCAAGGTCCCTGGTAGACTGGGAAGATCAGCAGTTAAAAGATGTACCCACTCCTGTTCTTCTATACCCTTGTGAAAGAGGGACCAGCTGTAGTCTTACCCAGACTTGATAGTCACGGGTCAGGATATCTGTTCCTTCCACATGGCAGAATTATAGCAGGTGGGTCTGCTTCCCCTAGCTTGGAATGGTCCCTGTGTGGGAATCAGTCTGTAGTTCCCACCCACCCCCCTCCAGCAGTGACTTTGTGCAGTCATAGGAGGGACTTTCCCAACCAAGCCATAAGTGTAGGCTGCCTGGGATAGAGAAGCAGATCCTGTGACTACCCTCTTGTATGAAACCAACCTTGATTTCTTTGCATCATCTCAAACCTACTAACTGAGCCTAGCCCAAGTGTGGATGCTACGTTGGACCTACTGCAGAGGAAACAGGGAGACACTGTCTGGGTGCTGCCTGCCTGGCTTCCTGGGTAGGGAGAGAGGCAGTCAATAGACTGGGGCAGGAATCTAGAAGAGGAAAACTTGCTCTCCAGCAGACAGGTCAGCTGAACAAGCGGACATGAGAGAGACCCTCTACAGGGAGGTGGGGTAGCCCCACTCACAACCTGGTTTTTTGAATGACAGTTTTGACTTGGGTGTAACTACAACTGGGTGTCTAGGCAAGGGTCCCATTTCATCCCAGTCCCACTAGGAAGAAGCTATCCCTTCCATCCATGCTTGTCCAGCTGTGTGGATGGCTCTTTTACCCTGAATTTGGAGCAGAATGTGTGAAGGTTATTTGTCAGCCAGAATCTGTCAGAGAAAAGGACAGCCTGCCAGAGCCCACTGGCAGCATTAAGACCGTCTAAGGTCACAGAGTCCACATTCATCCTCAAAGGAGATTTGCCCTTACCTGTTCCTGAATCAGTACATCTTTCAGACCTACAGGGGGCACCTTAAAGGTTAGCACTCAAGTGTACCCATGGGTAAAGAGAGCTCTCCGATTAGTGAAGCTTCCACCCTTATCTGAGAACATCACCCATTGCCACCTGCTTAATGACAAATCCTAGCACACAGCTAGACTGGCGGCAGGGCCAGGACTCAGGTAGACTATAATCTGGTCCAGGAGCTTCCCAGAGAGCCTTAGAGCCAAGAGACATCTTCAATCTGAGCTAGGCCATTAAGTACTGACTCACCTGAGACAGCAAGGGACTGCTTTCTTCCTCCTCCATTATCCACACAAATGGAGAAAGCCACAGAGACCGGTAGCCGGTGTCTCTCTTGAACAGGTTACAGTCCTAGAGTAACGGTGTCCCTTGGGTTCTCTGTGAACTGTACAACCCAGGGCTGGAGAGCTGCAGCTCCACCCACGGGGTGATCACAGTGGGATCATGTGAGGAGTCACACTTTAGGGCTTATAGCAGGGGCCTGCTTCTACGGATGCATCTGGTCTTTCTAGCCCATAATCCTCAGTCTTGGCTCCGGGAATATCCCTAATATGTACACAACCATGACTTTGGTAGGTGGCCCCAATGCTGGACTCATGGCCATCACTCTTGAGTCCCATTTTGGTCTTGGCCTGTAGGCTCAGCTGGTACTCTATCAGCACCCTCAAAGGATCAGTTCTGTGCAAACTGGTTCACAATAGCAGACCCAGGGGCCCCACAGGCAGCACAAAATCCAGTTTATCTTTGTAGTTTATCCAGAGCAAGAACACATCAGTATTCACATTCCAGATGTCCCTTCCCTCCAAGCTTCTCAGAAGCAGGATTTTTTTTAAAAAAAATATTTATTTATTTTTATTTATTTTATGTATGTGAGTACACTGTCACTTTCTTCATGTATTCCAGAAGAGAGCATCAAATCCCATTACAGATGGGATTGCTGGTATTACATGCAGTTGCTGGGAATTGAACTCAGGACCTCTGGAACAGCAGTCAGTGGTTTTGTTTTTTTTTTTCGAGACAGGGTTTCTCTGTATAGCCCTGGCTATCCTGGAACTCACTCTGTAGACCAGGCTAGCCTCGAGCTCTCGAACTCAGAAATCTGCCTGCCTCTGCCTCTCAAGTGCTGGGATTAAAGGCGTACGCCACCATCGCCTGGCTGCAGTCAGTGTTCTTAACCATTGAGCCATCTCTCCAGCTCCAAGAAGCAGGATTTTGCTATGACCACCATCCAGTCCTTGTATCTAAAGGACTTGAGCTATACAACTTGTTATGGAGACAGAAAGCATGTCTCAAGGCTGTCAACCCTGGGCTCTACCACCCGACTCTGTCTCCCTGCTTCTGACTGGTATGTGTGTGTAATGTAGACGTGTTAGTGTCATTGTAGGCCAACATGACCTTGAGACATCAGGAAGCCCTTCTGTAGACATGTTTAGGGCAAGGTCCTGCTGTACATATCAAATGTCCTTCCTGTTTGGACTCCAGTCCCCCTCAGTTTCAGCTCTTGTTGGACATCCCAGGCTCAGCCTCCACTTTTAGCTTTATCTACTATTGTTCTGACTTATAACTTTATATTCCAGACAATCGAATGGCCTAGCACTTGTGCATCCTGGCCTTTGTCACTCCCCACCCCCACCCCCACTGTACTATCACTATTCCCTGGAGCCCTCCAATGTCTTCCAGCAGCAGCAGCAGCAGCAGCAACAACACCCCATTTTTTCTTCTCCCCACCCCGGTGTTGAGGATGAAATCTAGGACCTCACAGAGTTATAGCCCTACTGTGCCTGTTATTTTTGCATAAAGGCTCTAGATTCTTTTTGTTTTGTTTTCAAGGCAGGGTTTCTCTGTGTAGTCCTTGCTATCCTGGAACTCACTCTGTAGACCAGGCTGGCCTCAAACTCAGTTCCTCCTGTCTCTGCCTCTCAAGTGCTAAGATTAAAGGCATGCACCAACACCACTACTTGGCTAAAGTCACATTTTATTCAATTCCTCTTGTATGAAATATTCAGACTGGGCATGTTAGCATATACCTGGGCCAGGGTGGAAAAAATACCAAGGTCCTGATGGACTTGGCAGCCAATGAAAGGGCGGCTGAGGTAGGATTTTGAAGGTCTCTTTGCAGATGACTATGCTTCATGGATAGAAAGTCAGCTAGGAACTCAAGGAAGAACCCGGAGGAAGGAATGGAGATAAAGGCTATAAAGAAATACTGTTCCTCAGCCTATTTTCTGACTCATGCTCAGCTAGCTTTGTTACAGAGCTTGGGCCTACCTGCCTAGGGTATGGTGCTACCAATAGTGGAACCGGCCTTTCCACGTCAACCATCTGTCAGGACAGTCTCTCACAGTAAGACCACAGAAATCAATGTGATCGAGGCAGTTCTTCACCTGACGTTCCTTCTTCCTGGTTGTGTCTAGGTTGTATCAAACTGTCAATAAAAATTGCATCAAGTCAACCTTAACTGTCTTTATTTTATTTTGAGACAGGGTTTCATTGTGTAGTTATCGATGTCCTGGAACTTGATATGTAGACCAGGCTAGCTTTGAGCTCAGAGCACCGCCTATCTCGGCTTCCAAACTGCTGGGATTAAAAGTATGTGCTATCATGCCCAGCCTAGTCTTAAAGAAAATTCTCTGTGTGTGTGTGAAGGTCAGAGGACAATGTCCAAGAATTTGTTTTTCCTTCTACTTTGTGAGTTTAGGGCATTAACCTCAAGTCATCTGGTTTGGCATGCACTTTGATTCACTTGGTCCCCTGACCATTTTATTTATGTATATGGGTCTTTAGTCTTCATGCTAGAGGGGGCCACTGGATACCGTGGAACTGGAGTTACAGCAGGTTGTGAGCCACCATGGTGTCTTAGTTAGGGTTTTACTGCTGTGAACAGACACCATGACCAAGAACAACACTTAATTAGGGGTGGATTCAGAGGTTCAGTCCATTATCATCAAGGTGGGAACATGGCAGCATCCAGGCAGGCATGGTACAGGAGGAGCTGAGAGTTCTACATCTTCATCTGAAGGCTGTTAGCAGAATATTGGCTTCCAGGCAGCTAGGATGAGGGTCTTAAAGCCCACACCCACAGAGATATACCTACTCCAACAGAGCCACACCCTCTAACGGTGCCACTCCCTGGGCCAAGCATATACAAACCATCACATATGGTGATGCTGGGAATGGAACCCAGGTCCTCTGGAAGAGCAGTCAATGCTCTCAAGTGTTGAGCCATCTCTCCAGCTCCTGATCAACTTATTTTAAACTGTCTCTATCACATCTGTCCTTGCTCTGGTTGTTTATTCATCACTAACATCCGCTAGATATTACGTACTTGCAAGTTGGTCTCCCTGTGGGGCAACTGGTCCAAGACAGGAGCCCATGTCTTCCTCCACACTCATTGTAAGGGCAGTGCCACACACTAAGTTAGCATGCAGTAAAATTTGTTGATGGAATGGATACGCCAAAATTAAAAATTAAATACCAGAGGCTACAGAACGTGTGTTATCAGCACTGACATTGACATTGACAGTTTGATGGAATTAAGAGAGGGAGCCAGGTATGGTGGTGTACACCTATAATCCCATTACTCAGGAAGACTTCTGACTGGAAACCAGCTTGGGCTACCTGAGACCAGGATGGAAATGGGCCTTGGATGCCCAGGACTCTGTCGAGAGCTGTCCTACCATGAAAGAAGCCTGGGTTTTACTCCAGGAGCCACAAAACTGTGTGTGATGGCACACTCCTGAAAACCCAGCATGAGGTGGAGACAGGAGGATCCAAAGTTCAGGATCAGGACTGGACCTGTATTTGGTGCTGTCCCAGAGGACTTGGTTTTGGTTCCCAGCACCCACATGGTGGGTCTCAATCATCTGTAACGCCAGTTCCAAGGGATCCACTTCCTCTTCTGATGTTCTCAGGTATCAGGCAGGCAAAACACTCACATATATATAAAATACATTAAAAACTTTAAAAAAAGTTTAGTTGGGTGGTGGCGGCACATAACTTTAATCCCATCACTTGGATGGCAGAGGTAGGTGCATCTCTGTAAGTTCGAGGCTAGCCTGGTTTACAGAGCTAGCTCCAGGACCGTCAGGGCTATGCCTTAACAGGTTCTTTCAACATGTCATATTATACATAATATTATGTAATATATACAATATAAATGTATACAATAAAATATATTATATATAAAACAACAAGTAAGTAAAACAGTCTAAAATATAAACAGAGTTTAGTAGACTCATAAATTGAACCAGGAAAGGGTACCTGCCTTTCAGTCCCAGCAGTGAGGCTGGCCCATCACTGTGAGTTCCAAGCCAGCTTGGTTTACAGCCAAGGCTATATTTAATGAGACCCTGTCTTCTTTTTTTTTTTGTTTTGTTTTGGTTTTTCGAGACAGGGTTTCTCTGTGTAGCCCTGGCTGTCCTGGAACTCACTCTGTAGACCACCGCCCCGCGAGACCCTGTCTCAAAGAAAAAAAAAAAGCCAAAACAAAACAAAATCAAATAAAAATTCAGAAGCTTTTAGCCACTTAAGAGATTTCCATAACGTTGTCTTCTGCTTCAAATCATATGCATGGGCCGGGAGGTGGTGGCGCACGCTTTTAATCCCAGCACTTGGGAGGCAGAGGCAGGCAGATTTCTGAGTTCGAGAGTTCGAGGCCAGCCTGGTCTACAGGGTGAGTTCCAGGACAGCCAGGGCTACACAGAGAAACCCTGTTTCGAAAAAACCAAAAACAAACAAACAAACAAATAAACAAAAAACCCAAAACAAAACAAAAATCAAATCATATGCATGAAGTTACAAAATGCAGTGCAAAAGGACAAGTTCCAGCTCATTGCTGGAAAATTGTGAAGGCGGTAAAGAACTTCCTTAACGGTTATATTTGAGCGAGATCTTTTTTTTTTTTTTTTTTTTTTTTTTTTTTTTTTTTGGTTTTTCGAGACAGAGTTTCTCTGTGTAGCCCTGGCTGTCCTGAACTCACTCTGTAGACCAGGCTGGCCTCGAACTCAGAAATCCGCCTGCCTCTGCCTCCCAAGTGCTGGGATTAAAGGCGTGCGCCACCACCGCCCGGCTTGAGAGAGATCTTAATGCTTGTCTCTTCTTGTAGCTTTTTTTGTATTGTTCCAACTTTCAGGAATATGCCTCTCCAGTCAGTCTTCTGAATTCAGGAATCCGGACCTAGGAGGGGCGGGGCCGAGGTGCGCGCGCCGCGCCACTTGCGCATGCGCGTGGCCGTTGGCGGGGCCGGAACCTTGTTTCGCCTCTCTCCTCGCCTGGCGGAGTGCGTTGAGCGAAGCACCGGACGTCGGCGCTGGCGGAGCCGGGCGGCGAAGCTGGAGCGGCGGTGGCGGCGGCGGCGGGAGGCCGGGGCTGAGGCCGAGGCCGGGGCTTCGAGGCCCTTGGGGAGACAGGCGGCGGGAGCTCGGGGCCCGAGCCCGGAGACAGGAGCGGCTGCCATGGCCGAGAGCATCGTGAGTGCGGCGGCCGGGAGGGAGCGGGGCGCCGGGATGAGGCAGCAGATTTGCGGGCGTCCTGGGCGGGCCAGCGCTGGACGGTGTTCGGAGCCGGCGGTTTCAACTCACTCGCCCTGGTTTTGAGGAGGTACCTGCCCTAGCCGAGCCAGGAGAGGCTGGAGGGAAGGAGTCCGGGCGGTCCGAGTGGAGCGGCCTTCTTCCCTGCTGCCGCAGGTTGCTCTGAGGGACCTCGGCCTCCTCCCAGGCCCCGAAGCCGGTTACGTCCTTCTCTCCTCCCCCATCCCAGCAGTGCCTCGTCATGATTTCACTCCGGAAGAGTCGACCGGAGAAGGGCATCATTAGGGGGAACCCCTTTCCCACAGAGGACGCGGCCATGGGGGCAAAAACAGGCGGGACTGACTCCTCTTTGAAACAGACAACTTGACGACCACCTGTTTAAAAGGAGTGTAATAAAGAAGACTGATTTCACTTTAGCCTGACAGTAGAGATTGTCACCCCCAACCCCATGAAATATGTCAGTAAAACAAGAGGAAAACCAGCCGTTTGTTAACCTGTGGGAGTTTCTCTCCAGAGGATATGTGGCAGGGGTTGGGAAATGATAGATATGAGTAGCCGACTGGTCTGACAGAATAATTATGGCCGACATTGAGGAATATTTAGGATTTCCGTGGAGTAGGAATCATGTTGGTTGCCATATGCCTGGGACAGCCCTTCAATGGCTTCCTGCATTGGAGAACATCACTTCTCTCTGGATTCCATGGATTTCCAGGGAAGTATAGCTCTTGAGTTTTGTTTTGTTTTGAGACAGTCTTACTATTTTATCCCAGCCCATCCTCGACCTTGACATCCTCCCACCACACCTACTTCATTGCAGACAAGGGCTGCCATTACTGTCAGGTTAAGAATTAAGGCTTTTCTCTGAGGGCAGCTTCTGTTTCCTTACAGCTCCATTTAGGGGTCTTCTGTTCTCTCTGTATTTCTTATCCTGGATGCAGACAATGGAGAGAAATCCCAGAAAGGCTGACTTTGTTTTAAAACTTAAATTTACCATCAGAGATGACTTGCCTAGAAATAGGTGAGGTATCAGCAGGGCCATCTGCTTTTTCAGCTTTCTCCTTACTTTTATGATCTTAACACAGCAGTTTGTTCAGGTATTCCGAAGGCAGACTTGGGCATCAGTGAGTCTTAAATTGACTTTCTCAGGTTGTGAGGAATTAACATACTTTCAGAAGTTGATTTTAGGAGTTTTACTTTTAAGGCTTATGTGTTTATTTTATGTGTATGAGTGTTTTACCTTCATATATGTGTACCACACCTGGTTGTTAAGGAGGCCAGAGTATGGTTTGGATCCTCAGGAACTGGTTTCCAGAGGCCATATGAGTGCAAGGAATTGAACCCAGTTGCCCTGGAAGAGCAGGCAGTGCTCTTTATGGATAAGCCATCTCACCAGCCCCATTTTGAAAAAAATTGTCTATGTGGGTATGAACAGGAGTGCAGTTGTTGCTAGAAGCTAAAGGTGTTAGATACCCTGGGGCTGAAGTTACACCAGGCAGTTGTGAGTCGCCCAGCTGTGGATGCTGGGAACTGGACTAGGATGCTCTCAAAGGAGCTGTGAGTGACTGCTCTTGTCTATGGAGCCATCTCTCAAGTCCTGTCTCTTTTAAATTCAAAGGGAGGCCTTCAAAGAATTTCTATAGGGATAATGTTAAAAACTCAACCATTCTTTCAAGAAAATTTCTACTCTTTTAATTTTGATTTTTTTGTTGTTGTTGTTGTTTTTGTTTTTACTTTGTGACCCAGACTCAGCCATGTTGTCTGGGCTGTTTTTTAGATCCAATGTCCAAACTGTCCTCAGCTTCCCAGAAAAATGGAACTACTGGTGCTTGTTTCCACACATTTGGCTTTTTTCTTTTTAATTTATTTCTGTATTTTGTTTCTGTCTGCATGTACACTTGCATGTCAGAAGAGGGCATCAGATGCCAGTGTAGGCTGGCTGTGAGCCACCATGTGGTTGTTGGGAATTGAGCTCAGGACCTCTGGAAGAGCAGCTAGTGTTCTCAACTGCTGAGCCATCTCTCCAACCCCATATGTAACATTAAGAATCTCTGTTCTCCATGTGGCCAAATCTGTCTGTTCCATATATTCTCTTCTGTAGCCTGTCAGAGGTTAATCCAAAACTTTTCTTAGTACACGGTTGTTTCTCTTCTTAAACCCAGACTCCCATCAGGTATAGTGACTTTGCGCGTTAGAGTTTTTCTTTGGTAAGCAAGGTATTGTGGCATAGGTTTGTAATCACAGGACTTAGGAACTGGGCCACTCCTAAACGTTTGAAACTTATCTGATCTGCATCCTGTGTACAACCAAACCAAAATCAGCCAACAAACGGATTTCTCTTACTGCTTCTTTCTCATAGTGCCAGGGTGAGTGGTTGAATGAAGGAGCATTTGTAGAGCCTTCCACAGAGGAGCAAGGTCTTAGCTTTGATGTGTTGCAGTGTTGAAGACATTACAGAATGAAATATGTACGAGGTGTTTTTCCTCAGAATCAAATCCCAAGTGAAGAGCGTTCTAGAAATCAGTGCTCACTTACCAATGAGTTGTGTTTCAGAAGCAAATGTGTACATAACTTTATGCCCTTTATCCAGAACAGAGTTTTTACTGTTGAACATACTGGACAAAGCCAAGTGAAAGTCATTAAAAATTGAGGGGGCACGGTCATGGTATTTTAGAAGAACCTACATTATTCTTAAACAGTTTAATGAAAGTAGACAAAATTTAGTTGACTGTAAGCCATTATGGAATTCCTCAGTGTATCAGTAGAAGTTTTGTTTAAAGTATTTTCTGTGCAGTGCCCCATTAGTGACTGCTGGAGAAAGCACTGCAATAGAGGTGTTTGCTGAGATATTTTGTGTCTTCCCTCTTGGTCCTCAGGCTGGGCAACAGCTGCCTGGTTTATAGGGCATGCCCTTTCATGTTTCTTTACTAAAGCAGGGGCTGCCAACAGTGGCCAGCGTAATGAATGATGTGTTCTCAGAAGGCCTGGATCAGTATAAACGTCATGTCCTAGAAAGTGGGCCCATGTCTAGCATTCTTGGAGGCCAGCCAACATTTTCTTTTTCCATGTCTCCCCATTCACAATACAGACTAGGCACAGTGGCCTAGGCTGAGGTATACATAGGATAGGTTTATTCTGTTCCTCTTTCTATACAGTCAGTGTAGGAGCACAGCCTATAAACACAGAAGGCCGCCAGGCAACATTTTTATCTTTGCTTGTCATGGAAGTACAAGCAAAGAAGTACACATGGAAGTACATTTTGTTAAAACCCAGCCACCAAGAAAACCTCTTGTTAGATTTTACTATGGTATTAAAGGCCTTTATTTTATTTTAAAATTAATTTATCTTTTTTATGTGTCTATATGTGTACGTGTATGAATTTATGTGCCCCACAAGCATGGAGGGTCCTGTGGAGCAGAAGTGGGCGGAGCATTCCTGGGAACTAGAATTAGACAGTTGAGAGCTTCTATGTACATGGTGGGAATTAAACCCAGTCTTTTGCAGGAGCAGCCATTGCTCTTAAGGACTAAGCCATCTCTCCAGCCCTTTAAAGAGCATTTCATGTGATGTCTTCTTGTGATCTTGAAGGGCAGTACATGCATGCGGTGCACACGCATGCAGGCAAACACACTGGTAAAATAGAAACCTTGTTGTTGGGTGGTGGTGGCACATGTTTTTAAAATCCCAACACTTAAAAAACAAAAAGATGGATCTCTCCTTATGGCCAGCGTGATCTACACAGTTCTAGGACAGTCTATAGCCTACAGAGAAACCCTGTCTGGAAAAACAAACAAACAAACAAACATCCAAAACCTTATCTTGAGATTGTCTCATGTAGCCTGGGCTGGCTTCTTCGGATGTTCTCACCTCTTTCTCTAGAGTGCTTGGGATTACATGGTCCCACCATATTTAGCCTTGAAGTTGTGTGTTCCACATGAAATTATAACGTGTTTGAATTAGAGTGGTACTCTAGACCATCTTTCTTGTGTCGATGCACCTCACATCTTGTTTCCCCTTCAAGGAAAAGGGGAATTGGGGAAAATTGAGTGTGGGGAGGTGGCTTAGTGGGAAAGGAGTTGTTGTGTAAGCACTGAGACCTGAGTTTGGATTGCAGCACCTGGAGAAAAGCTAGACACGGAGGTGTACGTCCGTCTGTGACTCCAGCACTGCAGAAGGTGCAGAGCAGTAGAGGAAGACACCCCCTGTTGACTGACAGCATGTGGGCGTGTGCATACAGTACACACAACATACATAGACACCACAGAAAGCTGCAGAAGGATGGCTTCTAGCTTTAGTTTGTGTAAGTTATAAAGCCAATACCTTACTAAGTACAGTAACTATCTTCCTTGATTTCCCGTAGATAATCCGTGTCCAGTCCCCTGATGGAGTGAAGAGGATAACAGCAACAAAGAGAGAATCAGCTGCAACATTTCTGAAAAAGGTACCTGTGACATTGATCTTCTGGGCCTTGTTCTCTCCAGGGTTCCTGTCTCTGCCTTTTACTGTTTGCTTTTTGACTCCCGCCACCAGGCTGTCACTTGTACAGCTTTTTTACTATGTGATTGGACTGGATAGCTGCTGGATCACTGTCGAGGGGCAGGGAGGTAGAGAAGGAAAGGAGACAGACAGGCAGAGTCAGATAGATAGGCAAAAGATAGGCAGAGTCTCACTATGTAAGCTGGCCTTGTGCGCTCAGTAATTCTCCTGCTTCAGCTTCCCGAGTGCCTCTGGGATTACAAGTATGAACCACCGTGTTGAACTCTTGATCAGGTATTTAATCACAATTAGTATCTGCCAGACCACAGGTAGATGTTAAAGCACTTTGCAAGAGTTATTTTTGAGAAGGAAAATTTGTAGTCTAGTGTGGTGCTAACACCTGTGGTCTTGTCTCAGGAGGCTGAGATGAGAAAGGTTTAAGGCCTGTATAGGCAGTGGAACTGCAGACCAGCTGGGTCCATGGAATAAGACCCTTTCTCACCCCCCACCCCCAAACACACACACACACACAGAGTAGGGATCATGTTTCAAGCAAACAGCATTTGGAAAAAACTTCAGTTTGTCAAAGGGGAATTGTAATAAAATTTTTTAGAATGATCCATTCTATTTATTTGGTTTTGTTTTGAGCCAGAGTCTCTGTATAGCCCTGGCTATCCTGGAACTCACTCGGTAGACCAGGCTGGCCTCAAACTCACAGAGATCTGCCTTCCTCTGCCTCCCAAGTGCTGGGATTAAAGGTGTGCGCCACTACACTCAGCTCATTCTTTTTATTAATTTTGAGACAGTGTCTCACTACTTAGTGCTGACTGGCCTAGAACTTGCTTTGTAGGCCAGGCTGACCTCACATGCTGTTCTTGAATTCAGAAAGGTCTGCCTGCCATAACCTCCTGATTGATTTATTTTTATTCTATGTATATGAGTATTTTGTTTGCATGTTTGTCTATACATTACGTACATGCAATGTCCATGATGACGAAAAGAGGATGTTGGATTCTTCTGAACTGGAGTTACATGTGGAGTTAGTAACTGATTCCAGGTCTTCTGCAGCAGGATGGGATGTTTTTAACATTGACCTATCTCTCCAGCCCCAGCCCTCCCCCAATCTTTTGTTTTTAAATTATTTTTAATGTATATGTATGTTTTGCTTGCGTGTGTTGCCAAGTCTGTAGACATTTGCCTGCATGGCTGTTTATTAAATAAAACAATGGGCAATTCTGGCAACTTTGTGCTTTTTAGGTTTGCAGATTAGGATATGTGTACTGCATACCTATGTCTGGTGCCTGTGGAGGCCAGAAGACGGGGTCAGAAGATGGGGTCAGATCCCCTTGGAGCCGAGTCACAGGTGGCTGTGAACTGTCACATAAGTTTGCAGTTGAACCTTGGTCCTTTAGAAGAGCAGCCTTTGCTCTTAGCCACTGAGCCTTCTCTTCAGGCTACCCCTCCCCTCCCTAGTTCTTTTTTAGAGAAATTAAAGCCCCATGTTTATGACTCTGTATGTACGGGGAGTAATGTGGAGAGTGGATGGAGTCAGACCTAAGGAGAATAATGTCTGTTTTATACTTTTTACCCCAGGCCAACAAATTGTGGCCCTTATTTTTTTTTTTTTTTGTCCTTGTCAATATGGAAGTAATGTAATTCCCAGCTTTCTTTGCTGTTAGTTGCATTTTATAACCAAGTACATAGTGTTACTCCTGACACATTTTTTTTGGCGAGGTATTTCAAATGTCAGAGGCAATCTTACTGATACTCTTGCTACATTTCTTCAAATCTAAAACACAATGGAGTTTCCAAAGAAACTCCATGTTCAAGATGGCATTATATAGCCATCTTTAATTTACTTTTCATTTTTACTTTTTACTGGACAGTGTGTTATGCATGTGGTTCTCTGCTATCACATGCAGATTTACATCTATGGTACAAGGTGTTCTTTTTCTCTTTTCTTCTGTTTCATATTTCACTCCATTCCATTTTTCATTCCATATTAAGTTTGTTGTATATGTGCATTGTGTGAAACATGTCTTCAGAACATTCTCATTGTGCATGTCTGTAATCTGTTCTCCCTCGAACAACTTCCCTGCAGTGCTGATCACCACCATTCTGTTTTCTCTTCCCGCTAAAGAGTTCCACTATTTTAGATGTCTCTTGTAAGTGGGACTATACTGTGTAGGTGTGGTTAAAATCTCAATAAATGATCTTTAAAACAGCCTCTTTCTTTCTTTCTTTTTTTTTTTGGTTTTTCTAGACAGGGTTTCTCTGTATAGCCTTGGCTGTCCTGGAACTCACTCTGTAGACCAGGCTGGCCTCGAACTCAGAAATCCGCCTGTCTCTGCCTCCCAAGTGCTGGGATTAAAGGTGTGCGCCACCACCGCCTGGCTAAAACAGCCTCTTTCTATATACTTGCTTGGAAAGCATATCTTAGCCCTGTAAATGTTGTTTGGGCAGGATGGCCGGTACTAAGTAGCCTTTTTAAATATGTGGCTTTATACTCTGTAAGTAAATTAATGTTGACATGTAGTAAGATTGTTTATATTGAAAATAATTCACAGACCAGCATTTGGGAGGTGCAGGTAGGAGGATCAGGAGTTCAAGGCCAGCCTTAGCTGCATTCTGAGTTTGAAGCTAGCCAGAACTATTTGAGAACTGGGTCACTGTAGCCTCTACTCCTGCCAGAAAAGAAGACAATGTTGACTTATGGAATCTTAACGATTGGTTCATTTGAGACTATTCATTTTAAGGTCTTACTGTTGGATTTTTAGAGCCTAGAACCTCTAGAGCCCTGTGTGTAGGATGCTTAATATCTATTGAGTTAAATGATTCATGGGTCCCATGGCACAAGTGGTTTGATGTTCTACCTTCCCTCCCTGATTATCTGTTTTTCCTTCCTTTCTTCTACTTTCTTTTTCCCTTTGATTGTTTTGTGTCAGGTCATCAGAGTCTCATGCATATAGTCCAGAACTTGCTGTGTAGCTGAGGCTAGCCTTGAACTCTATACTCCATTTCCATCTTCCTAGCACTATAATAATCACAGGAGTGAGCCACTGTGCCCAGCTGACATTTTCATTTTAGAAACATTTAAGGGGCTGGAGAGATGACTCAGAGGTTAAGAGCACTGGCTGGTCTTCCAGAGGTCCTGAGTTCAATTCCCAGCAACCACATGGTGGCTCACAACCATCTGTAATGGGATCTGATGCCCTTTTCTGGTGTGTCTGAAGACAGCAGTACACACACACACACACACAATGAGTAAAATAAATCTTAAAAAAAAATAAAAGATTTAAAAATGTTTTACACTTATTTATGTATTGGGGTGGATGGTGGTGACATTCATGCCATGGTACACATATGGAAGTCAGAGGACAGCTTGCAAGAGTCAATTCTCTTGTCTTACTGTGCGTCCAGGATCAATTTTTTTTTGTTTGTTTTATTTTTTATTTTTTGGGTTTTTTATTTATTTATTTATTTATTTTCCAAAACAGGGTTTCTCTGTGTAGCCCTGGCTGTCCTGGAACTCACTCTGTAGACCAGGCTGGCCTCGAACTTGGGATCAAATTTTGGTCATTAGGCTTCGTAGCAGGCACTAGCTGCTGAGACTTGCTCACTGCAGCCGACTTCTCCATTGGTAGCATCATTCTGCACTCCATTTTCTCTCTGTGGGTAGGTTTATGATTGGAATTGGGTTTTCACTGTTGTTTCA